GGGGCCGCCTGCCGCTGCACCGCGCCGCCGCCCGCGGCGACGCCCCCGCCGTGCTCTTGTTCCTCGAGGGCGGAGCGGCCGTCGACCCGAAGGTAAGACTCGTGTCGTAATACCACTCTCGACTTAACGCATCCAAACAGATCGAAAAGCTATTCTTAGCGGCCGGGATCCGATAAGGATTTTTCTGGTCAATCAACGTATTGTGACACTGTATTGATAATATGTGACATGTCACAATCAAATGGAAGAGCGAAAGATCTTTCTTAGTGGCTGGGAAATCGTTAAGGATTTTTTGTAATAATTTATAATACTATATATTAATTATTTTTATGATTTTTTGTTATAAAAAAGTTTTAGTGCGAAAAGTATTGATTGACACCCGACCGATATCAGAAATGACTTGCTTGGTTATAAATCTCGACCATTGCCTTTGCTTGCGACCTTTAACAACGTCTGTTATTTGTTCTTTACTGGTCTAATGATGTTAATGCGGTTACATACTGTTGCTAATCTTTGCATTTAAAAACAATCTTCGAACTTCAAAATGTCGCCGCACGCCTACTGTTACCTCAGGAGGGATAATCCTCGAAAATTACGTAATGAACAAATTCCGCAAATGAGCGTTCATTGTATTAATTTTATTACATTATTAAAATTTAATGTCTTTACTACAAAACCAGTTAATACGAGCGAGTCATTAATGATGAAGAGGTCTCTACATTTCGTTTGTAGAAAACAAATCACGAAATTTGGTTCAGTAGATGGCTTAAATTCCCTTCTAAACGTTTTAAATGTATAGATTTTGTAGCATTTAAGAACTGATTTGCAACTTTGATGAGACGTTTATTGGGGGCCCCAATTCGTTGGGTGCAGGTGCCTAGGTTGATTATGTAATTAATCCACTCCTGGTTGAACGTCGGCTCGCGAGTCGTGCTGGGAATCCGGTGAGTCGAGCCGGGGTCGGCGAACCGAGACAGATGCGGCTGTCCGCTACCTTCTATGAGGCTCGACTGGGGTTGAGAAAGGTGCCGGTGGCTGCTCACCGTTCCACCATTTAGTTGCCAATAGCCACATATTCAAATTTTTGCTATGTTTTTCTATGTGAGTCTCAGTTCAAGTTTGAGAAGTCATGAGCATTTAACTTAATCGTGAAATACATGTACATGAATTTAATTGCAACAAATTGCAACAGGAGATAAGCCTCGGTAGTTGTAATGATTCGTCTGAACTAAAACATTTTCCTTTCATAACTTTTCTTTATAATTCAACGGTTGCCAAACATATGATGGGTGCGAACAAAGACAAATCAAAACTCGGTTTTGCTAGCGCGAGTCGTAAGTACTCCACTAAACAAAACAAGCGCCTTGTTGGTTGGTTCGGTACCCTGAGTCGTCGGTGGCAGTTCATCTAAACGAAACAAGCGCTTTGGTGATAGGTACCAATACCAATACCGCTTTCTGTCATGTTCTTGACGTGTGATTTGTGAGCTCAGTTTACTGCCTTACTTTGTAACGAATCAAAACATTGCTTTAATTGACAGAGTATCTCATCATTTCATTTAAAGAAGACAGCAAATTTTAGAAGGGTTACCATGAAGAGTCAGGTAGCTCTATTACAAGCCTTGTCCCTCTCTCCATTTTCTCCTCGAAAACAAACACCGATCCTACTCACTATGAAAGTGTATCAGGTATAGAGCGATTTTTGTAAGAACGAGCCTAAGTGACAGTTCGCTAACCAAATGAGCATCACGCGTAATTCAGAGAAGGATCTCTCCGCCGCGGCAGCTGTTCGGCCACGAAAACTCCCGTGAAGATATGCAGAAGTCCAAGAGTTTCCTCGGGAATGTGCACGTACGAGAGTCCGGGAAATATTGAAATATAATTACGTATGTGGTAAAATATATTAAAAATGTCTCGTGGCGCACTATATTTTCGTCGGACATCACAAATAGAAGCGTCGACGCCATTTACAAGTTAGCCAACAGCAAACGAACGAATGGAGGAAGAGTCTAATAGGCTCAAGAACACAACGATCACAAAATCTTCAGTTGTGTTGCCAACACTAGCTGTCAAAATGGCCCATTCTTATAAAAATCGCTCTATACGAAGAATTTCGCAGAATCTTGCTACCGTCGGCGTCCGCCACCTATTTCCCAAGTTCGAGTCAGGCGCGGAGCGAGTTCGTGTTGTTTGCGGTGGAAAGAATCAGTGTGTTACCAAAGCCATGCGTCTGAGCCACACTCCTACTCTGTGTATTATGTGTATACGCCTCGGGATTATCGCTCTTCTTTCGGTCACGTTGCGTCTTTGCATTTCCCTCAAAGTTTAGCTTATTAACATTCGGCGTGTATGAAGCTCGTGTCTTTAAGTGAATAAGATGTCATATAGTACAATTAATTTTTATGAGATAGTGAGAAGTGATTATTTGATTCATCTTGGTTTTTAATCCCATCTACTTCTAAATCTTTAATCAGTAGTTTTACCTGTAAAACAAATATTAACTTTTTTTTAACGCTAGAGTTATAAGATTTCATTAAAAAAAACATTACCTGCCATTATAAGTGCTACTTTTACCGATGAATATTTAAACATTATGTAACCATGGTTACAAACCACCATTACCACGAATCTCAGTTGGGATATATTCTGCATCAATAATTCACATGATACAGCATTAATTTCATCCATCTTCCCACCTTTGAGCCAGTTCTTATAGTTTTAACTGCTCTTTTCCCGGTCCATTCGTCCATTTTTTTTATTAGAATATGATACTTGAACTTGTATCCAGTAGTTTCCGTAGAGTTGGAGTCATTTTTCACTCTCTCACATATAATTTTCCTATTTCCCGATTTGTTCAAAATCAAAGCATAGTCTTATTTGTAATATTGATATAATTACACCAAATGTAACGCAAGTTAAATAAATTCTTTATTTTTTGTTTTTTCTTTGAATTAACGAATTCTTTAAATTTTGAAAATCGGTAGAAATTAATTTCTGTACATTTTCAATTTTTATTTTAACATTTTTTTTATATTTTAAAATAAGCGTAGGGCCTTCTACCTCCCTGGTATGTTATAAACGCCCTAGTTAATTTCGTAGAAGCACCGAAAGTTGTGGGAATGCAATAGCACGTTTCACGAATAATATTGTCTACCACTTCCGTGATCTGGACCTGTCAGTACTCTTGGACCAACTCCAGTGATATCTGTGGACTTGAGTCACAGCAACGGCATTTGCGCGTCGGAGGTCGCTCGCAAGATTCTAATGAACCAGACAAGCAAGGAAGGTTTGCGAAAACAATTAGAGATATGTCGAAAATTAGGTCTTCGCGAAAAATATCCGCAGTTGTCTGCACCTTACAACTGTATCTCGATGCAGTCTTGTTTCTTTGAATCTTAGTCCTTAATTAAGAAATAAAGCAACGATGGATTGTCTGTATTCTTCACAAGCTTGATAATGAGTACTGTGCTAATGCTTCAAAGATTTATAGTAGAAAAAGCCATTTAACGGATTTTTATTCGCCTATAGAATGGTAATTTACTATGTTTAAGGAATTCTTGATATAGACGTAAGATTTGAACTTTAAATATAGGTTGTGCATCTTTTCGTTCAGCTTATCTCTTAAGGGGATAAGTACAGTTATTTCATAGGCCATTTTTATGATTATTAAAATTTCATATCTTTTAACAATGATAGGAGTTTACACCCAGACTTTTGTGTGCGTTTTAGGATGCTTTCAACAACAACGATGGTTGCGTATTAAAATTGCAAATATTCAAATTTTTACGAGTTTAAGTAACTCTTTCGGGTTCTTTCAAAAATGTTATATCCTATTTCTATTGTATAACCTCATGTACTCGGAACTCTTCTACATACCTCATAACCTCGGAACTCTTCTACATACTAATAAATTACAAAATTGCAGTCTTATGTATCCGTATGGAATATGATTATCTGCGTAATATTCTCTTTCAAGACAGACCAATGTTCTCCTCGTAAGAGTAGAAAAAAAAGTATGTGATCGAAGCGATAAGAAACTAAATACGTTTTTGTACACAAGAAATAAAAAAATATAATATGTTCAATTCTATAAGCAACTTATTAAAATTAGTTGAATTTTTGTAGGAACTGTAGAGAATTCTTTTGGGAGGGGCTCCAACGTTTGGGGACACCATAATTTTGCGAAATGTTACAACTATGTGTCGGGAAATATAACTGTAGGCCAATCATTTTAAGACATTGATGCTCTAAATTAGCTCCTAGGAGAAAACTATTTGAATGATATTCCTATTATAGGATAGGTCCGTTGTTTTATAGAAGAAAAGAAAGTGATGGAAAGCATCATTGTCACATAAACACACTTGACCTACAATGTATACCATTTGACGGTTCCTAAACATGGCTCTGCTGAAGGGCGGGTGCGTGAGGGTGTGGGGTGTGTGAGTTAGGGATAAGACATCGCCAAGAAAACATCGATGTTAATAAGACATGCAATTAATAACACACCCAAATCGATGTTATTAAACATAGAGATTTTTAAAACCAAATTGG